TTAGAAAAAAATCCTATTATTTTTTATGGAATTACATAGGTCCAAAAGAAAATGCGTCAAATCTCCAAAAATGTGTACTAAATTTAAAAGGTTTCATGGCATAAACTAAAAATCGCACACAAATGCAGTATACTGCTTTCGAAAGAGTGAATCTTTACCTTTAATTTGCTTTTTTGTTGAGCGATTTTTTTTCACCGAGTTATTCAACATTGAAGCAAAAAGGAACATTTTTGCTTTAATGTTGAATAACTTGGTGAAAAAAAATCGTACAACGCTAAAAAAAAAAACAAATTAAAGGTAAAGATTCACTCTTTCAAAAGCTGTAAACTGCATTTGCATGCGATTTTTTATTCGCGCCATGAAACTTGTCAAAGTTCGTAAAAAATTTTGAGATTCGTCGGGTCTCCCTTTCTATCCGTGTAATTCCGTGAAAGATCAGTAGGATCGTTTTCTCAAGTACCGATTTGGAAAGTAGAGATTTCAAGCTGTAAAATGCTTTTTTGAACATCTCGATACGATCATTTTTGACGAAGTTGCTCTATCTTGAAGTTTGCCTATTTTTAGAGGATAGAACAGGTGATCCTTTAATTTTTTGGACCAGTATATATACATAAGGATTTTTCTTAAATTATAAACTAATTTTCATTTGCCTATGCTTACCGTATGGCTCAGTAGATGGTGGAGGTTTATGCGTCGTTTCCTTAACAAATTGTCCAAAATTATTCAGCTCATTTTCCGAATCAGAACAATTGTTATTGCGACGCATGGATTTGATTTCAATTGTGCGTGAAAGATCTTTAAAATTCTTTTTTGTTCTCTGCGATTGTAAAGTAGCTGAAAATGAATAAAAATTATAATAAAAATATCAATAATTCATCATTCAATCAATAATTTCACGTTAAATGCTATTTTTGAAAAAAAAAAAAAAAAAAGATAAAATTTATTCAATATTTTGATTATCCTAAGTAATTATTGAAATACAAATGGCAATTAAATCTAAAATTATTTGAATTTGTAAAAAAGTGTAAAAGTTACCATTATACATGTTATTGGTACTTTTTTCAATTGTTATTGCCGATTGCAGTCTATTATTTCCAGGAAGATTAGAATAAGATGATCGGTTTTGTTTTTTAGATTGCGATGAATAGTGTGATTTTCGGAATGTTTTAGCTGTAAATGTAAGGACAATTTTAAAATGTAACGCTAGAAATTGCAAAATCTAATCTAATTGATCGCTGCTTCGTATAGTTTTATTTTAATTAATATATAATCCAGAATCGATTTGGAAATAGCAAATCCACATGCACGTTAATACAATTTTCTTACAACTTGTATCTTTATTACTGCAATGTGCAGATAATGAATCGTTTTCCCAACTTTGTTGTTGCATAGTTGGTTGACGCGGAAATGCTGGCAACATTCCAGCAAACGCATCTTCCTGCTCTGAATCGCTACTGCTTACACTCGAATTCGCTTTAGCAGCTGTAATTCTTCTTCGTTTTTTTGCAAGTGATTCGTCGGTATCAGTATTTACGTCTGTGATTATTTCTGCTCTCTTTAATTTATCTTTTGCACGTTGAAAGGAATCTAAAAATAATATAATATGGAATGAAAACAATGAACTGACAACAATGCCATATTTCTAATATTGTAAAAAAATGTTTTATGGCGTTATTTTAATAAAACATTACAAGCAATAAACTTGGCAAATCATTCCTTTTTTAGATTCTTATATATTTAATATAAGGCGTTGTTACGTCCTGGATTTGAGAAAAGGACGCAGGGGTGGGGATTTGTTTTGCGGTTACAGATCGGGGGTTGATATGTATATTTATGTATATATGTATATGAATGGAAAGGAAAGACACAATCAGAGAGATGGCTAGTTTAAAGTGGGCCGAGCGGAACCCTTACACTGGCCGTGAATATCATCATTTTGTGTCTTAATGATAGGAAAATGATGAGAAAAGAGAGAGATAACAGAACGTACCTTTTAGATTTCTTTATCCGCGACCCGATTATACGCGTGCGTGATACTGGCTGATTGATTTGATGCCCCCTTTTACTGATTGGTTGTCATGCGAAAAACCGTACGTTATTTATATATATATATGTGTGT